ATTGGTGTTTAATCTTGATTGTACTATCTGAAATAACCATTAATTATCACAATATTTTATAAAATGAGCTGAATATTCATTATATAATTCTACTTGAAATCTTTAGATAATTTCAAAAACACAATAAAAAAAGTTAAAACTTTTAAAAAGCATATTCTTAATATAATATGCACATTATCTTTTAAGAGGAGGGGTAATTGTAACAATTTTCATATATTCTTGTATTTTCTTGTATCATATTCATCATTTTTTGCATAATATGTAAGAAATTAACACAAATCTACATTTAATACTTCTTAATGTTTTACCAAATAGATTAGATGTAAAATATAGATCACATTATTAATTTAGATACATCTAGTTTTTAATTTTTTTTATTTTTATTTGTTCTTTCATCTCGTATTTATTATTTTTAATTTCATTTTAATTACTTTTATACATATTTAATTAAATACAGTATAACTTGGAGATGCATTACCTTTAAGATTAATAATTTAGAACCAACTAATTTTATTGGCATCTTTAAGTGTCCTGCACTGTAAGCAGGCTATTTTGGCGGGATGCTTGTCTTTGTTTCCATTCTGGACAGGTCAAGTCAACAATCAATAAATTAATAGAAGCATTATGAAGCACCGCAACAGCCTGTTTTAACTCTAATAACACTTGTAAACTCACTATACTTGTTGGTTCAGTCTTGATGTTGCAACATATAATATAAGCAATTGATTTGTACCTACTTATCATCGCCATCGTTAGATTTCAATGACTACCTGGACAGAGAATCCAAAAAATTTCGCTGTATATGCTCTTTTAACAAATCCAGCTAAATCGTTGAAAATATACCAAAACAAGTACGAGACATTGCAAGTTCGGCATGCTGATGGTGGTGTTTACCTTTTGCACTCACCACCCCAAACAAGTCTATTCATACTCGGGTTCTAGTATCTTCTTACAACCTCTTGTAAACCAATTAATAGCATATGCAAGTTAAAGACCTTTCAGCCCAACAAACAGATTACAGCTGCTCTGAGACATTATGTCTACTGCCGGGAACACACTAGCTGTGGGATTACAGTCTAAAATGGTCTCACAAAGGGCAGCAAGAGCAGATGTGAATGTCACAAAACCGAAAAAAACATCAATCAGCTAATTTCGTAGATTCAATTGCTACTGTACGCTATATCCAAGAGGAGGGGTTAGAGAATTATGATTCTGAATTCGTAAAAGAATATCATGGTGGCATTTCAATCCTATTGCACTACTTTATTAAGCTTCTTTTATTAATTTTTGTAGCACTAAATGCACCCTCCTCTACCTTAATACCAACTCAACCATCCTAAGACTCCTTTTCTGCACTGTCGAACTCTTCAAACAAGCATCTTCTACATGTTCCACAATTAAGGCTTGATAAGGCGTCTCTGTGGTGTACAGATGAATTCGGCAAGTATCCAGTTGATGCACACACCGGTCAACCAATTTTGTAAAGCATAGAAAGATATTAATGGTAGAGCAAAACAGCCGAAAGTGGGACAATGGTTTGCTCCATATTACCATTTTCTTGAACCCGCACCACTAAACGACGCGATGCTTGCTTGAGAAAATTGTTCTTGCACATTCGTATTGTAAGCCAAATTTAGAAATATTTCATTATGAATGAACACTTTTTCTTTCTTGTGTTATAAACATTATCCCTATCGTTCTTTAATAATATTGTGCGTATCAATATTGATTATCGAGAAACAATACTGGTCCTTTAGAAAGACAATAGAGACATCGAACGATAATTACTTAATTGTTTGTAGAAAGCCTCAAAGAAACAATCAATGTAAAATACTAACCTTAAGAATTAGCGTAGTAATTCGAAACTGTATATGCAGAGGTGCTCTTAAGCCTCTGAGAAGACATTCTTTGATTTTCAGTCTCGCTCATATTTAAGTTGTGAAAAACCTCTCTAATTCGAAAAATTTTAGAGGTCGACGCAACAGTAATACATCACCGAGGGCCATAATTTGTGGGTGCATCAGGTTCCCAACTGGTTTGCTTTTATCGATCCAAGGGTGACGACATATTCGATTATTGAGTATTGTTTTATCACTAAATTTAAAATGCCACATTTATTCTTGCAAAAACATATTTATTGTGTTTATATCAATCGGAGTGTCACTTAGCCTTCTTCATAATACTGAAAAATCATAACTTTTTACAATTTAATATTTTATCAAATTCGAATGTTTTAGTACAATTATATGCATTTGTTGGCGGGGGTTAGTGATTTTAGGCGGAATTTTGAATCTACCTTTCACGTGTATAAGTCATGTTGTCCGACCGAAATTGTGTGATTAATATTTTAAGGAATGATAATTGTCGTTACGGAATTTTATAGAAAAGAATGTATTATCGTTATTTTATTTATTTGTCAATTATTTTTTATGAAACCGATTTCAATTTTAAAAGTATAGATGAAACTAACGAGAGTGAAGAAAAACTACAAATTTACAATAAAACAAGATATTTTCTTTTTCGCCGAAGAAAAAAATAGTAACTACTTTTACGTTATCGTTATATTTTATATCAGATATTATAATCCTGGTGATAATTGCGGAATCTGTTAGCTGGAATTGACTTTTATTTAATCTGCCGCTCGACGAATGAAGATTAGGCCTAGACAAGGCAAGGAATTACGAATTGTACGACGGCGTCTCGTCTTCAAGATCGCACCTAAAACTCAAAAATAGAAAGTGGGAGTTAGAAGGGGAGTTGAAGTGAGTGGAAAAGCGAGTTCTTTGGCGTTCTTGTACAAGCATATATGAAAAAATAATTTCGATATGAAATACTACTGGTGTAACCATTTATCGTCAAATTGGGAACAATAGCGATATTAAATCACACACATTGTTTTTTTTAAGCGTGACGATTTACCTCATTCGGAATATTAAATTGATAATCTATACTGTATTTAGCAATAAAATGTACGTACCAATCATTTGAATTTAAAATTAAAATTAATTTTAATTTTGTAGTACATATCGAAGTTTTTGCTTGTTATTCATATTTGTAAGAATGATTTTTTTCAACTCCTTATTCAGTTTTTTTTTTTAATTTCTGCCACTTATAATTTTTTTATTTGTAGTTCTAAAGTGCAAAGTATTCAGTTTGCATAATCGCGGGCAGTTAGAGTTGGTAAAGTTTTTAAGTTCTGAACATTTTCCAAATACAGTGAAACCTCAATAAGCCGAACCTCGTTAAGCCAAAGTATTAATTGAACTAGGGATAAGAATCGATTCTCAACCCATAATTGATTTCAAAATCGATTAAGCGATTTTAATTTGAGAAAACGATTCTCAACCCAAAATCGATTCTCGAGCACAAATTACAACGATGACGACGACGACGACGACGACTACGATGACGGTGATGATCTTTGTTTTCATTGCATGTTGATTTTTTTCCTTTTTCGTTAATTATGTACGTAGTTGAATTCGTGATAAAGATAGTATTGCCATCAGATTGAGATTTTGTATATGTTTCATTATTGTCTGATGTTTCATAAGTTTCATTCAAGTTTGTTACTTTTGGCATTAGTATCACTATCAGAGTTACTATAGTTTTTTGGTTATTATCAATATTAACATTTTTTGTTGAATGACAGAGTACGTAGTTTGTCACGAGTAACATTAGCCATGTTTTCATTTTTTTATTGCATTTTTTATTACAAGTTAATCAATTTTGTCTTTAAAATCGATTATCAAATTTTAATCAATTCTCAAATTTTAATCGATTTCCAAATTTCAATCATTTTCAAAATCGATTCTAAATTAATCGGTTCCTATTCAGGAACAGCTATACGTAGTCAGTGTAGTCAATTGTATTTATAAATATAATCCAATTGAATCTATAAATGACCCTCGATAAAACCAAATTTTTACAATCACTTTGATTTATCGAGGTTTAACTAATAAATTTGCATCATCCGTGAACATTATTTGACATCTTAGGTTTTTTTCCTTTATAGATGTCGGTTACCAAGATCTATATCATGTTCACTTGTTATAATTTCGTACGAAGCCATAAATATCTGCAGCTTTGGTGTGTGACTTCATTTTAATGAAGTACCTACAACAAATCCCACATGAATTGATAACAGCTCTGATAATATTAGAAGATGTGCTGATTTCTCATAATTTTTTTCGTAGTCTAGATTCCATAATTGAAATAACCTCTATTGCTTAGGCTGAATTTACGAGAAAATATAATAGCTTGCTTGCTCTAAATAATTCCGGGTGGCTCAAATGAACTAACAGCATTAATGACAAAGACTAATTTTTATTGTTCTTTATATATACATGTGACAAGATACATGTAATTATTTTTCATTACCATAGCTTATTTTTTCTTATGTATTTTGAAAAAAAGAAACGTGCTTACACGTTGGAAATTGTTCGTTTATAAACTCTAACGTGATTTTCTTTGAATCATGTAACGATTTCCTCGTTTATATTTTTTAAATCGTTTAAAATTTATTTTCTTCATGACCTCACAGTTAGTCGATGGTCCGTCCAACTAAGTTGCTTCATATGCTGTTCTCAAACCTCCTTTTACAAGATACTCAACACTGGTGAATCTTTCTAAATTAGCCTTTTATTAGACTGCAAATATCTTTATTTTCGCTGTATCATTCAGCTTTATAAAGTTGATAGTGATACTTAAAACATTTATAGTAGTACATTTACTAAAATCATGAATATTAGGTTCTATCTTTCTGAATTCACTTTTTAAAATGTTATTATATATTGTGTTTATATATTAATGTACATGGTAAAAAATAAGAAATTGATAAATGTATAAATGTTCTGTGAAATGTCACAACACATTTCAATTGGCTGGTCCACCAGGGTTAAGCCAGAATTTCTGTGTACATAATTGGTCAATATTGAAAGTTGTGACATGCTACAATTGTTACAAAATAAATTACTATATAGAACTCAAGTAGTTAAGGTATTTTATACCGAAGTAACGGCAGGCGTCTGTTGAGGAGGATAACCTTGCGGGATATGCGATTGTGCCAGGCCATAAGGAGTCGAAACGACTTCGGACGACAGGTTCACACGGAGGGTTCTAGAAGTAAGGTCAGAGAGGGCGTCATTGATTTCGAGCACTATCTCTGCATACTCGGCATATACCGGCGTGGCTTCCCCCTTGACACTCCCATTCAGTGATGCTTTCATTTTTATTGTGTAATGGGTGACTGCGGTGCGCCACACAAGGTTCCAATTGGCAGTTGGGTTCTCTTGCTGGTTGTATTGGGCAAACAAATTGTTTACGGCATTGTTAAATTTTTCGGCGCGACGCCTTGCCATTTCTTGGATCAAATATCTGGCCACAAAGTATCCAATGCCAAGGCATCCTTCGATTATGGGACCAGCAATAGCAAAAGAATTTGATGAAGATTTTGGCTTAGACGAATATGACGAATAATCTGAATATGACGGCGCACGTGTTGACGCGGCGTAAATAGAGACAATAGTAATTATAGCTATAAGCACGGCTACTGCAATACAGGCATACTTGATGAAAGTCTTGGCTCTTTCACTCAATAGTGGGTAGGCGCGTATATAATTATTGATTTCTTTAAGTCGGGTGGCGAATTCGTCGCGGGAGAGAAAACCGTGGAGGTCAAGGCACCATTCTGAGTCAAACGCATGGCAAGGTTGGAAGACATCACAACCAGGATTCAATTCTGTAAGAGGGATTATAACAGTTTTCATTTCGTATGCTAAGCGTTTAGAGTTGAGAGTTGAGAGTTGCGAGTTTAGAGATAAAAGTTGCAAGCTTAGAAAAAGAGAGTTGTGATTTATTGCGAGACATTATATATGCAATTAATTGCGAAATTACTGCTGTTACACCCTTTGGAAAATAAACATAATTGATTACGGAATATGGAGAACAAAGCAACGGAGGGGGCAAATTTCAAACACGATAGAGGAAAAGATTATGTATTTGGAAATGAATTAAGTTATTAATATAAATAATGTCACAACAAACAATAAAGATTTGATTTGAGAAATTAGTGTTACAGAAATTTCGATGTGATACATTATGTCACACTAATTTCCACATTTTTTCGAATATCTAATGTTACATTTAAAATTTTACGTGTACATTTTTTAAACATTACAACATGCAGATTTTCAAGCACAGTAAACCCAAACCATAGAATATGCACACGCGAAACAATCTGTGGAGCTTGCAGATTGTTTAAGAATTTTGGCGCAAATCAATTCTAATCATTTACACAAACCATAGCGACAGAATATCGATATCATTTTTCTGCAGAAATGTAAGAAAAATGTACTATATGCGTACATTTCCCTTCTGCCAGTCGCATTATAAAACCCCTTGATTTAACGTAAGCAATCAGGATTGAAGATTTTTAGACTCTTCATTTTGATTGGTTTCCTGATTGCACATGTACATTATTAATTGTATACATGTTTTTTGATATACAAATAGTTCGTATCACTTGATTTGGGTGACGAAAATTTTGGGGTTAATCAGCTTGACATCATTATTAAACTGAACAATTCCACTTTTAAAATTGTATTTTCTACATATATTTTTTAAAAATCTATATTGCATATATTATAAATGTTTTTTTAAAAATCTATATTGCATATATTATAAATGTTTTTT